CCCAGCTACCTGGGAGGCTAAGGCAGGAGAATTGCTTGAACTGGGAGGCAGAGGTTGCAGTGAGCCATTGCACTCCAGCCTCCAGCCTGGGTAGCAAGAGTGAAACTTCATTTCAAAATAAAGGAAAAAAAAAAAAAAACAACGAGTGAGATGTGTTGATCTCTAAGATGGATTAGATCATGTCCACCTCTAAAATCCCATGACCCTACAAACTCACTGGACCGATTTTCAGAACCCACCACAAAGCTTTGATGGTGTTAACTGCTCCACGCCTCTCAAACTCTAACTTCTACACCTTTCCAAGGGGAACTGAGACACGAACCGTTTTCAGGGCTCACTCATTTCCACACAGAATTCCCAAATCTCATCCCACAACAAAGAGACCCCAAACCCGATGACATCCAGGAAGGGGTTCCAAGCTTCCATCCTTGCCTTGTACAAGGTGATGTTTGAAGCATGTGGAAAGTGCAATGTGGCCACAAACAGGTGGACATAGTCACTGTTCAGACCACCCTCGTAAATATTCTCTGCGATGATCTTGCTGACGAAATTTTTGCCGGTGCCTGTCCACCCGTGCAGGGAGAGGGTGAGAGGTTTCTTGGGCTTCGGATTGTTTATGAAACCAAACACAGCATTTAAGATGATTTTCTTTGCAAGATGCTGTCCAAAGAGCTTGTTGTCCAGATCCTTCTGCAATGCTGGGGGAGACAAAGCCAATCAGGAGGAGGGAAGAAATAGTGACAAAATGCAGCGACATTTACAGCCCATGAGAAAGTCAGCAAAGCCGACTAGCTCTTCAAGCACCTTGTGAAACCTCAAGTACTGCGGTCTGTAAGCTCCTGGCCCAGAGGGGACAGTGGTCCAGGGAGCCCTCCCTTTGCTGGTCCTGCCTATTCTAAAGCCCTGGCCCGGTTCCTTCCCGAAAAGGCCCTTGGTGCGGGTGCCACTGCCACTGCCACCAGTTTGCACCTCTAACCCCTGTGCTGCTCCTCCCACCCCAAGGCAGGGCGGGGAAAGGAAGCAGTTTGTTCCCTCCTGGTGGGCTCCGAAGGAGTCCTCACCATCCTTCCTGTCTCCCACTAGGCTATAAAGGAAGCAGAGCCCACTTCGGAGGGAGGTTACCACCAATCCACCCCCAGCTTAGCACAAAGTCGGCCAACCTGCAGCCCGGCTCCTCAGGTCTCCAACTGAAGTCTGGCCCGTCCGTGGTGGCCGAGGGGCCAGGCCTCATCCTGCAGGCGGGCCGCTCGGCTTCCGGGGTTCGGCCCCCGGGGACTCAGCTCTGCCCAGGCCCGGCCCTCCTGGGATTTGACCCCTATCCCGGCCCGGCCCTAGTTCCATCCCCCAGCCCCAGCCCCCGCCCCGATCCCCAGCCCCCAAGCCCCGCTCCAGCCCTAGTCCTAGCCCGGCCCTAGTGCGATTCACCAGCCTCAGCCCCAGCCCGGCCCGGCCCTAGTGCCATCGCCCAGCCCCCAAACCCCGCTCCAGCCCTAGTCCTAGCCCGGCCCTGGTGCCATCCCCCGGCCTCCATCCTCCATCCCCTGGTCCTAGCCCAGCCCTAGTGCCATCTCCCAGCCCCAGCCTCCAGCCTCCAGCCTCCAGCCCCCGCCCCAGCCCCCGCCCCAGCCCCCGCCCCTGCCTACCCTCCCGGCTAAGGCTCCGCTTCTGCCCGCAGCACTCGGCGAAGAGGCAGTAGAGACGCGGGTAGATGTAGCCGGTGAGGACGCCGGCCAGGGCCAGTCCCAGGCTGATGGGCTCCACCGCCTGCACCACGGACGGCGCCAGCAGCAGCAGGCCCAACGCGGCCCGGCCCAGCTTCATGCCCGGACCCGCGCCACCCTGCGCGTTCTCGCGCCGACCGCGAACCAGTACCACCGCCAGACCCTCGCTTCCGGTTCCTCCTCGCGCGGTGGCCATCTTTCTTCAGGGCAGCCCTCCTCCCGACGCCGGCGGCCGCCATCTTTGTTCGGTACAAAGCTCTGTTTTGCTTCCGGAAGGTCGGATCTGCACCGCCCCCGTCGGCCACGTGTTTTTGTTTGTTTATTTTAAAGTAATGGACGTTATTTTTGCCGGGCGTGGTGGCTCACACCTGTAATCCCAGCCTTTTGGGGGGCTGAGGCGGGTGGATCTGCTGAGGTCAGGAGTTCGAGACCAGCCTCCCCAACATGGTGAAACCATGTCTTCTACTAAAAATATAAAATTAGCCAGGTGTGATGGTAGGCACGTAGCTACTGGGGAGGCATGAGAATCGCTTGAACCCAGGAGGCGCAGGTTGCAGTGAGCCGAGATCCCAGCACTACACTCCAGCCTGGGCGACTGTATTCCCCCCCAAAAAAATGGATGTTAATTTTTAGAACAGATTCACAGAAAAAATTGATAAGATAGTACAGAGTTCCCATGTGCCACACCTCCCTGCAATTTCTCCTATTACTAAAATCTTACATTAGTGTGCTACATTTGTTAAAACTAACGAAGCACTGTTGTTATATTAACTAAAGTGTACAGTTTATTCGGATTTCCTTCCTTTCATGCCTTTTTTCTGCTCCAGGTTTCCATTCAGAATACATTACATTTAGTTGTCATGTCTTAGACTCCTGTTAGTGACAGTGTCTCAGCCTTTTGTTTTTATTTTAGCTGGAGTGCAATGGCGTGATCTCAGCTCACTGCAACCTCCGCCTCCCAGGTTCAAGTGATTCTCCTGTCTCAGCCTCCCGAGCAGCTGGGATTACAGGCATACACCACCATGCCTGGCTAATTTTTGTATTTTTGGTAAAGACCATGGTTTCACCATGTTGGCCAGGATGGTCTCGATCTCCTGACCTTGTGATTCACCCACCTCAGCCTCCCAAAGTGCTGGGATTACAGGTGTGGGCCACCATGCCTGGCCTCAGCCTTTTATTTTTGATGACCTTGATAGTTTTGAGGAGTACTGGCACAATCTTTGGTAGGCTGGCCCTCTACTGGAATTTGATGTTTTTCTCAGGATTAGACTAGCGCTATGGGGTTTTGGAAGGAAGATCACAGAGGTGAAGTGCTATGCTCATCACATCCTACCAAGGAAGGGTTCTTACTGTCAACATTACCTATCACTGTTGGTGCTGACTTGATCACTTGACTGAGGTAGTGTCAAGTCTCCGCACTGTACACTTATTCTTCTCCCCACCCCTCTTTTCTCTACTGTACTCTTTGGAAGGAGGTCCCCATGCACAGCCCACACATTAAGGAGTTGGGGATTTTGCTCCACCTCCTTGGGAGCAGAGTATCTGCAGAGATTATCTGGAATTCTGGATGGGAGATTTGTTTCTTCTCCCCCATGTATTCAATCATTTATATCAGTATGGACCATTGTTATTTTATCCTTTGTGTTATAATACAGTACTAATTTTTTTTTCTCTCAAATTGTTCTCATTTTGGCCACGGGGAATTTAAGTGGTTCTTTGTGCTCCTCTGACCTACACCCAGTGTATACCAGTTTATTTGGGTTTGAGTGCTTCTTTCCTTTCTGCCACTACAGGATGCTCCAGGCTCATCTTGTATATTTCCTGCCCCAGTCCTAGAATCCTATTTCTACGAGGAACCCTGATTCCTTTCATTGTAGAATGGCATTAGAACCTGGATGGGCATGGTGGCTCGTGCCTGTAATCCAGCACTGTGGGAGGCTGAGGCAGGTGGATCACCTGAGGTCAGGAGTTTGGGACCAGTCTGACCAATATGGTGAAACCCCATCTCTACTGAAAATACAAAATAATTAGCTGGGCATGGTGGCGTGTGCCTGTAGTCCCGGTTACGCAGCAGGCTGAAACAGGAGAATTCTTTGGACTCAGGAGGTGGAGGTTGCAGTGAGCCGAGATCATGCCACTGCACTCCAGCCTGGGTGACAGTGAGACTCCATCTCAAAAAAAAAAAAAAGAAAAAGAAAGAAACCAAGGTCTAGGTGCTAGGTGTGCTTCTTGCTGAGATGTCATTTCTTTCAGGCAGTCTCAGCTGACAGAACAAAAAAATGTATGTATATACTATTAAACACACACATATCTATAAATATTTCTAGGTAAACATCTGTACTTACATTAAGCTAAACATGAGCTCATGCTGACATCTCCAACTCTAATCCATTACACGGATCATTGGAGCCTCCTCCCCTTGCTTATCTGTGAATTCCCACCCCAACAGTGAGAGACCTGGCTCCCTCCATCTGGCGGCCACTTTTAAGCTGGGTAAGAGATTACTCATTTTCCAGCAAAGGGAACTCTGGCAAGTGAGAACTGTTGATCATCCACTTATTTGCCTGTTCATCCCATAAACATGTGTTACGTTGTTGTGTGCCAGATGTGCTAGGCCTTTAGTATTCATCTTGGGTTACCCTTGTACATCGTTGGGACCTGTTAAATGGTAGTTGAAATATCCTGAAAATATTTTTTAAGGTTCAACTTTTTCATATTGGATTTAAAATAATACTTTTGTGCATTTGTTACAAGCCAGACACTATAGGGATCATTCATAGTTTTGAGGACTGCCTATGTGTCAGATTGTGGGCTACGCCCTGGGGTTTCAAATTTAAAAATTAGGCATACATGGTTCCTGCCTTCACTGACCACATTCAAGTGGTGGAGGAAAAAAAAAATCTCCACTTTACAGATGAGAAAACTGAGGCTAAGAGTGAAAAGGATCTGTCCAAGGACACAATTAGTAAGCTATGAGCTGGGCTCTGATGTGACTCCTGGGCCAAACCACCATAACCACAATACCTGCTGTAACTCCGCCCGTAAGTCAGCCAATCTACTCTTTCCTCTTCTGGACCCATGTGGATGCCTCAGGAAAAATGAGGGCACAGGTAAGAAGGTACTTGACAGTTAGCAGGTTGCAGCATGTCTATGACATTTGAAATAAATGAGAAAATCCATCTCAGTAATTCAATTTTACATTTAAGCTACCCAAACCATGGGCTTTGAAAACATTACCTGATGTTAGTATAAGGAAACATAATACAAACAATATGGTTGGATTCATTTTGAAATTTAATAATTCAATTCTAATAGTAATAAGAAACATAGTTTATGCTTTTTCTTTTTTAATGAAAACAAACAAGTAATTTTGTAAAAGTCAGAAAACACTAGTATCCTTCTGATCTCATTCTAGATTTTTCTGTCAGTTGGACCCACTCTAATCAATGGAGGATGCATGTCTGACCCCATCCCAGATATGTGAAAGCAGAAGACACGATGCATCTATAATGAAAGCACAATCTAAAGGGTATTATCACACCGTGAAGTTTCTTCCTGACCCAGAACAAATATTAAGAGAAAGACAATATATTTACAAACAAGATTTAATAATGCTCAAGAATACAGTTTGCCCCCAAATGGAAAATTACACATTGTTTTGTTTCAAAAAGTTATAAATTTAGTGCCTGAAAAATCCAGCAGGTAAGCAGAAGGACTAATAGGGTCCGTTTCTGGAACTGTTCGCTAGCACATGAGCATGCTCTGTCCAGGAAGCCATTTTTCTCTTTTTTTTGAGACAGTTTTGCTCTTGTTGCCCAGGCTAGAGTGCAATGGTGCAATCTCAGCTCACCGCAACCTCTGCCTCTCGGGTTCAATTGATTCTCCTGCCTCAGCTTCCCGAGTAGCTGGGATTACAGGCATGTGCCACCACGCCCGGCTAACTTTTTTGTGTTTTTAGTAGAGACAGGGTTTCTCCATGTTTGTCAGGCTGGTCTCAAACTCCCGACCTCAGGTGACCCGCCCACCTCGGCCTCCCAAAGTGCTGGGATTACAGGCCTGAGCCACCATGCCTGGCCAGGAAGCCATGTTTCATGGGAGGGATATAGGGAGAGGAAGGCGCTATTTACATCCCACTCTGCACAGCTCAGTACCGCCTATTCATTTTCTTGAACTTCTCATAATGATAGTCATCAGTTGCCTTCTCGTTAGCAGGACGCTTGCGGTTAGGAGGGGACCCTGAGAAGGAAAATAACAGGAAAGGTGGTTTGCCATGCTGGAACCCACTGCTAGACTTTACTCTATGTAGGCAAAGACAACTGCCTGTTTCCTTCCCCACGGGAGCCCCAGCGCCTAACCCAGTGAACATAGTAGGGCCTCTGTAGACACTTATTTGTCTTTTTTTTCTTATTTTGAGATGGAGTCTCACCCTCTTGCCCAGGCTAGAGTGTAATGGCATGATCTAAGCTCACTGCAACCTCCAACTCCCGGGTTCAAGCAATTCTCTTGCCTCAGCCTCCTGAGTAGCTGGGATTACAGGCACCTGCCATGATGCCTGGCAAATTTTTGTATTTTTAGCAGAGACGGGGTTTCACCATGTTGGCCAGGCTGGTCTTGAACTCCTGACCTTAGGTGATCTGCCTGCCTTAGCTCCCAAAGTGCTGGGATTATAGGCGTGGGCCACCGAGCCTGGCCAATACCTTTTTCTTTTCTTTAAAAAAAAAGTTGTGGTCTCACTCTGTCACACAGGCTAGAGTGTAGTCGTCCAATCATAGCTCACTGCAGCCTTGAACTCTCTGTCTCAAGCGATCCTCCTGTCCCAGCTTCCCCAGCAGCTGAGACTACAAGTGTGAGGCACTGCACTCAGCTAACCTTATGAGTAGCTTTTATTTGTCCTTACTGAAATTTTCTGACTTCTTGAGTCTCTACTGTGCTTGAGAATATGAGATAGTATGCTTGATACTGAATTCTCAGAGCAATCCTAACAGGTAGGTTCTATTAGGATTCCCATGAGGAAACTGAGGCTTAGAAAGGGGAAGGCACATAGTCATGGTCCAGAGCGTGGACTGGAACCCAGATGGCCCAGCTTCAGTGCCAACCTCCACACTGTCCCCCGCTGCACCCTGCCTCCCTGGGCCCCCACAGAGCTGAGCACTCCAGGCAGCCCCGAGGCCTTTGTTGCACTCACGCTCAGGCTCTGGCTTCTCCGTGTCGCCTACTCTCAAGGGCCGGGCCTTGGGCTCTTCTTTGTTTCTCCGGATGGGTGCGTTGAGCTCTTCATGATAAACTGGACCCAAAGACACCAGGGGACACGTTAGATGGAACATGAGGTTCCTAGGGACCTCAGCCCAAATAAGGGAAAGGGGGCAAGACCGCTCTCCCTGAGGGGCTTACATCTGTTGTGCTGCACGTAATTCACGGCCATGTTGGTAGGCACGAAGGAGGTCTCGCTGTCTTTCTTCTTGTTCTGCTGCTCTGCCAGCAGACGGGCCTTGGCATCCTCCGTGGAAATTATATTTTTAATTTTAGCACTATGGAGAGAAATAAACCACACCACTTAGAAGATGATAGCACCTTACTACTCAGATGTGAGTGGTGAGGCTGGCAGCCCAGCAGGACATAAGAAAATCATGTGTCCTGGGACACAGCTCTCCAGTTTACCAAGCACACTTGTAGTCACATTCTCACGGAACTCTCACGGCCGTCAGAGAACCACAGTTACTCTGCTCTTCTGATCAAGAGCAAATTGAGCTTCAGAGAAGTAAAATGCTTAAGACTCAAAGTTTGTAAGGCCGGAAAAGAGCCTAGAAGCTTCCCAACTTTCTACTGTACCAAAAGATTATTCTGACAATTGCACTTCTTCCATGACAATCCCCTTTTAAAGTGGATATTTTGTTTTAAGAAGGATCATGGGGAGAAGAGGTGGGTGAGCCTTTAACATGGCTCCTGCTAGAAGAAAACAGAAGAATAAAGGGCCTGATACAGCTGTCAACAGAGGCTAAAGAACCACTTTTGCTTTCAGCAGCCAGGGGCCCTTACTACTCTGGCCAAGCCTTCAGCAAAACTTCTAGCAACAACCTGCCAGAGACAATCTCGTTTGTATTTGTAGGATTCTAAGGACACAGATAAGAACATGGGGTCTCACTACACTGCCCAGGCTGGTCTCGAACTCCTGGGCTCAAGCGATCCTTCCACCTTTGCCTCCCAAAGAGCTAGGATAACAGGCACAAATCACCATGTCTAGCCTTTTTTTTTTTTTTTTTAAAAAGGGTCTTACTCTGTCACCCAGGCTGGTGTGCAGTGGTGCAATCATGGCTCACTGTAGCCTCAACTCTGAGCTCAAGTGAGAGCCCAGCTAATTTTTTAAATTTTTTGTAGAGACAGGAGTCTCACTATGTTTCTCAGGCTGGTCTCCTGGCCTCACGTGATCTGGGATTATAGGCGTAAGCCACCACACCTGTCTCTCATAAATTTTTTTTTTCTTTTGAGATAGAGTCTCATTCTGTCGCCAGACTGGAGTGCAGTGGCATGATCTTGGCTCACCGCAACCTCCACCTCCCGGGTTTAAGCAATTTCCTTCCTCAGCCTCCCAAGTAGCTGGGATTACAGGTGCCTGCCACTATGCCAGGCTAATTTTTGTATTTTTAGTAGAGACGGGGTTCCACCATCTTGGCCAGGCTGGTCTTGAACTCCTGACCTTGTGATCCACCCACCTCAGCCTCCCAAAGTGCTGGGATTACAGACATGAGTCACCGCGCCTGGCCTGTCCCCCGTAACTTTTAACTGGAAAGCACTGTGTCTTCTGCCTATGGGTCTCAAACATACTCGATGCCCAGGTCCACCTCAGGAATGCCACTCAGCATCTGGTTGGAAAGCATTTCCTCCGTCTTCTTTGCTGAGGAAACACGGATGTTTTCGGGAAGTTCATAAAGACAATCCTCTGCATTCTTTGGCTTAACCTTCTGTTCCTCATGTTCCACGATCCCTTTCCTCTTCTTCAGCTCTGTCTCAATGTACTTCATCCTGAAGTGAGAAACACACAGGCCTCAGGGAGGGGCAGGAAACACACCAGGTATCCTCTAAATTAGTGGTCCCCAACACTGGCCCACAGGCCAGTGACGGTCCATGGAGAAACAAGAAAAATACAAAATAACTTGAGTTTTTTCATCAAGTTAGAAATTTTCCACTTAAAGCAGCACCAACCTATGAGGTTATGTCCCACTAATCTATTGGTGTTAGAATGTACAGGTTTTTTGAAGACAGAAAGATGATGGTTTGCCAATAGCTTTGTTGGCAAAATAAAAAGTGGGCAAGGCCATGTTTTATCCCTGCAATGTTTTGGGGAAATATTACTAGTCATGAAACCACCTTTGAAAAGAAGTTTTATTTTTTGTTTTTGGAGACGGAGTTTCACTCTTGCTGCCCAGGCTGGAGTGCAATGGCAAGATCTCGGCTTACTGCAACCTCCACCTCCCGGGTTCAAGCAATTCTCTTGCCTCAGCCTCCTGAGTAGCTGGGATTACAGGTGCCCACCACCACACCCGGCTAATTTTGTATTTTCATTAGGGACAGGGTTTCTCCATGTTGGTCAGTCTGGTCTCGAACTCCCCACCTCAGGTGATCCGCCTGCCTCGGCCTCCCAGAGTGCTGGGATTATAGGCAAGAGCCACCGTACCCGGCCTGAAAAGACCTTTTAAGAGGTTTTCAAAGTTCTTAAGCTGGGAGGTAGAAAGAGAGGGGCCAACTTTGACATCTAGAAAATTCTAGAAACGTCATCTGTTGACTAAATATCTTGGACTCTGACTGGGGTCCAGCCCCAGTTGCTCACAGCCAAACAGACTGACACTTACATGTCTGCATCCTCATCCCGTCTGTTGGTTTCTGCAGAAAACGATGTCCCCAGGTGCAGGTCCTCCTCTTCACTGATCCTGAAGGGAGAGAACAATGAGGCAGAGCTTTCAAGCCACAACTCAGTGAGGCTGAGTTTTATGTTCTAAGAAGAAAACAAAGACACAAGCATTTATAATATACTATTTACATTTGGCAAAAAAAAAAAAAAAAAAAAAATGCTATAGTATAATATGTAAATGAAAGAAACTCTAGAAATATACGCAAGCAAACTGTTTGTTGGCTGCTAGTGATACCTCCAAGGATTGAGTGGATACCCTTATCCTTAGGTATCCATGGGCGATTGGTTCTAGTGCCCCTCAAGGATACCAAAATCTGCAGATAGTGAAGTCCCTTATATAAAATAGTGTAATATCTGCATCTAATCTACACACATACCACCAAGTCCCTTATATAAAATAGTGTAATATCTGCATCTAATCTAGGCACATACTACCATCTGCTTTAAATCATCTCTAGATTACTTTTAATACCTAATTCAATATAAATGCTATATAGTTGTCACAAAAGTACACAGTGTACTTTTATTTTTTAAACTTTTGAATTATTTGAATGTTTTATTTATTTATTGAGACAGAGTCTCACTCTGTCGCCCAGGCTGGAGTACAGTGGTGTGATATCAGCTCACTGCAACCTCTGCCTCCCGAGTTCAAGCAATTCTCCTGCCTCAGCCTCCTGAGTAGCTGGGATTACGGGCGCCTACCACAACGCCAGGCTAACTTCTGTATTTTTAAAAGAGACAGTGTTTCACCATATTGGTCAGGCTGGTCTCAAACTCCTGACCTCAGGTAATCTGCCTGCCTCAGCCTCCTGAAGTGCTGGCATTACAGGCATGAGCCACCACAGCTGGCCTGACTGTATTATTTTTGTTAATTGTTTTTATATGAAACTTCCCCCATGGGTTCACTTATTTTATTTGTTTGAGATAGGGTCTTTCTCTGTCACTCAGGCTGGAGTGCAGTGGTGTGATCACAGTTCACTCTAGCCTCAACCTCCCTGACTCAAGCAATTCTCCCACTTTAATTTCCTAACTGGGACTACAGGCACATGCCACCACACCCAAAGATATATACACACACACACACATATACATACATGTACACATGTACATGTGTGTACATATATATGTACATGTATTTCTTTTTTTTTTTTGTAGAGACAGGGGTCTCACTATGTTGCCCAGGCTGGTCTTAAACTCCTGGACTCAAGCTAGCCTCAGCCTCCCAAAGTGTTGGGATTATAGGCATCAGTCATCATGCCTACAACATACTTTTACAAAAGGAGTCTACCAGCTTGGCTCTAAGTTAACTTTTAAAGACTTTCTGCTTTCTTTGTTTTTAAATAACATACCCTTTGCAAAGCATAAAACCTGCTTCAAGATGTCCCACTAATGCTGCTGCTACAGGCCTCAGCTCTCTGAGGGAACCTAGACCCAGGCAGCGGCTAAAGGTGAATTTGCATATAAGCCTGTCCTGCACTTACTTATCTTTGCCCCTTTCCTTCAGTTTCTTCATATCCACCATACCACCTGTCTTCATCTGAAAGGGATCATCCTGCGGAAAGCAAACACAGTTAAGAGGAGGCATCTAAATAAATGGTAGTGGAATTTGTTTTCTGTAAAGCACTCACTCACTCACGGAAGAGCACTGCAGGGAGGGTTGCCATCACTACCCAGGGAAGACCCATAACTTACCACTAGAGTTGTCTCCTCTTGTACCTTCTCTCCCACCAGCAGGGCCACAGCACTGAGCAAAACCAAAACCAGGAGAGGGAGAGAGAGAAATGGCATAATTCAGAGATGAGGAGGAACCCTCTCGGGTATGTGGATTGCAACATTAGTGCAAGGGTGGGATTTGAGGGGTGGGCAGGCAAGCCGGCTGGAAAAGCCTATAAGCATAAAACAGGGCTCAACAAGCACCGTACATGCTGGAAGAAGGGTGGGCTGGTGGTGAAGTGGTACACTTTCCCACTTTCCTGTAAAGCCATTTGGCATTATCTTGGCCCGGAAATCTCATTTCTAAGATACTCTCATCATGGAAAGTGCAGCTAAATTTTTTTTTTTTTTTTAATTGAGACGGAGTCTCGCTCTGTTGCCCAGGCTGGAGTGCAGTGGCGCGATCTCTGCTCACTTTGCAAGCTCCGCCTCCCGGGTTCACGCCATTCTCCTGCCTCAGCCTCCCGAGCAGCTGGGACTACAGGCGCCCGCCACCACACCCAGCTAATTTTTTGTATTTTTAGTAGAGGCGGGGTTTCACCGTGTTAGCCAGGATGGTCTCAATCTCCTGACCTTGTGATCTGCCCACCTCGGCCTCCCAAAGTGCTGGGATTACAGGCGTGAGCCACGGCGCCAAGATAAATTTAAAAGAATATCCACTGCAACCTTATTTGATAGTAAAAATTTACAAAATCACCTACATGTCCCAAACAGGGGATTTGTTAACAAATTACGATACACACATCTGGTGGAATATTACGCAGCCATTAAAAAGGTTTTCTGAAAAATACTCCACAATATGGGTGAATGCCCACAATGTCATAATGAGTTGAAAAGAACAGGGAATAAAAGTATACAGAAAGTTGTTCACAATCTGAGAGAGAGAGAGAGAGAAAAATAACAGATTGGAAAGAGTATTAAATATTAATGCCAGGGCATTCTCGGGTGGCTTTGCAAGGAAAAAAAAATGTTAACACTGGTCACTTCCGGAATGGAGAATTATGGGTGTTTTTTATTGCCTTGACTATACTTTTCTAAATTATACAAACTCTTAACGATCGATATGCATTTCACAATTAACTGGTTTTAAGAAAAAACGCGAGTTAGTGACCTGTTTTTGTATCTCTGGAGCACACCCCAAGACGGCACAGCTGAGGGCAGGTCCTGGTTAAACATTTGCAAAGAACGCTATTCTCCAATTTGGGCAGTGGAAAGTGTATAGTGTCTCAAGAGAAAAATCTACGTCTGAGGAGATATGTGCGACAGCGACCCGGATGCGGATGTGTCTGTCGTCCCCGCCTCCTCCTCCCGCCGTGGTACCCACCTCACCCCGTTGGGCCTCTTCCTCAAGTTCTGTACCTCTCTGGTCTCTTCCAGTTTTAATCTTTAAAAAAAAAAAAAAGAAGAAGAAGAAAGAGCAATGCATAGGCTGAGTGACTCCCCGCGGAATCCAAAGCTAACAGAGCCAACAAGGCACCTTCGTGCGCGTCCCAGCCCCGCTGCTGAGCCACCAGCACAGTGGTCCAGAGGACGACCTTGTGTCTAGACCCACCGGGAGTCAGAGCCACTGCGCATCCCGGAGGCATCTCTCCCAATTGTGCGGGCTTGGGACCCCGGCCTCACCACTTGAGCCTCAATTTCTGCGTCCGCAGAAGGAACCACCATCCGGGCTCAGTTAACAATGTCAGCGAAGCGCCCAGCCGGTGGTGAGTCCCCCAAGCAAGTCTATCTCTACCAGGCCCATGGGAGCCCCGCCCCAAACGCACCGAACCTCCTCTGAGTCCTGCTCATCTTCCTCTGACTCCGAGTCGCCCCGGCGGCGACGGAAAATCTTCCGGACGACCGGCATGCTGACAACCGCCCAACTGTCCAGCCGCCGCGCCTCTGCGCAGCGGCCTAGGCTGCTTCCGGCGCGCAGCAGAGCGGTCAGAGCGCCTGACCCGTCTGGTCCCGCCCCCGGCACGCACAGCCCGCGTGGCCACGGCCCCTCCCCTGGCGTCAGCCTCTTCCGATTGGACGGCGAAGGGAAGGAGGTGGGGCGTCGCCAGACCACCCCCACAACCCTGCGCGGCGCAGCGGAGGGGGTGCGCTTGACTGACAGGCGGCGGTGGCGCGGTTGCGAGCGCAGGTGAGTTCCGGGCCACCACCGGCCGCATCTGTGGGCCGGGCCTCTCAGAGCATTGGCGACCCCAACCCGGGTCCGGGCTGACAGGGCCTGGCCTCGCCAGGTACGCCAGACGCTGCGGCCAGGTGAGCGGAGCCCGGGAACCCCGCCCGCCGCCGCCCCTCTCCCCTCCTCCGGTCGGCGCCCAGGGGGTCCTCTGGGCCCCAGCACCCCACTCTGAGCCCACTGGAGGCTCGTGGCTTTTCCAGAACCAGGGCCGCCCCCCTCTTATTTCTGCCGGGGCCTGACCTAGCGTTGAAAGCATCCGCGTGGCGTCTCGCGTCTCGGGCGCTGACTTTTCTTTCCTCGGGCTCTGAGCCCTGACGTGCGTTTTTTTCTTTAGGAACAAAAGATGACCACTTCCCTGCGGTGCTGAATTAGAGTCCCAGCGCCGACCGCCTCACGAATAATGGCCCCCAGCTTCTCCGCGAGGAGAGGCGCGTCTGATGTTTTGAAGCCACGCAGGAGGGTTTGAGCCAGGGGGCTCCTCCTCGGTGCTGGCTGGCCAACCCCTTGGACTTTCACGGGCCTGGTTTTCCTCCTTTGGTCAGGAGGTCTGTCGCTCTACCGTCTGCCCCTTCCCCCCCGAAGATACTGTGAGGATAAAGTTTATTTGAAAAACGGTTATCAGCAAACGCTTAGGAAATACCTAAATGCATAAATAATGGCGTCTAGGACTTTTAAGAACCCCTTAAGTAACAATAGTTTTCCTTTTCTCAGCGTCATCCCTTACTTTGAGAACTACCTCTTACTAAGCAGTTACCATGTGGCAGGCCCTGGGCAAAGCATAATCTTATTGAATTCTCCCAGCAATCCTTTGAGGTAGATTGGTTTTCGTTTTACAAATGAGAATGTGGAGTCTCCGAGGGGCAGTGCGCACCTCAAGTTACACAGCTAGGAGGTGGAACAGGAATTGGTTGCAGGTCAGTCTCTGCAGCACGGTTTGCACAGGGCCTGGCACAGTACGAGTGCAGTGGATGTTTGCTGCTGCTGCAGCTGCTGTTACATCTCATTGGCTGGGGGGAAGGGCTGGTGGGGACTGTTGGGGATTCCCTCTTCGGGAAGACCATTCCAAAGCAGGGCAGCGTTTCTGGAATGCCTTACGTTTTTTCTGGAACAGTCTCCGCTGAGATTGTTCTTCTCTTCTTTGGGCTGGAAAAAAATAGTAGACTCAGGACTTCTTGCACCAGCCTTTTATCTTTGGTCAAAATCCATATATTAAAGTCTCAAAGTCTTGCCCTCTGCAGACTGGTTCAGCCAAACCCAGAGGCACCTGCACTCACTGGATGCGGAGTCCCTGTCAGATGATGGAGAGGCTCCTTGGGAATTGCTGCAGGAGTCCGGGGGTCAACGTCTGCAGCTGTCATGCTCTCAGAGGTGGCTCTGAATCTGCCCAGCAAGCAGCCCATCCGCCAGGGGGGGTGCTGGACACTACTAAGGAAAGGGCAAGAAGGCCAGGGGCATTTCTGGACCCTCCTCCTCAACTGAAGTCCCAGGGTACAGATGAGCTGCCCCCACCCTTGCTCCGTGAGGCCAGAGGACCCAGTGATACCCACCACCTGTGCTGTGGCAGATCTAATTGAGTGCTGTTTAGCAAAAGGAATGCTGAAAAAGTGGCAGCTGTGAATCTGGCAGTAAGTGGCTTTGCAAAGAGACTGCAGCCCAAGTCTCGCTGGGCCCTTTTAAGGGTAGGATGAGACTGCCTCTCAAAAGGACCCTCCCGGAGATACCGGTTCTCTGCAGTTCAAAGATGAGTCCAAGGTCTTAATCTTGTTTGGGAGTTTAGTTGTTGAAGAAAATGTACAGATTCATCCTAGGTTTAGGATGGTTTCCTAGCTCCTTTCTGGAGCCAGATGAAATGTTGGCTTGTTTCAGGGTTCAGGGAGCTTTCATATCCAGGTGGATTTGGGATCCAGCAACGTGATCCAGTTCACAGCCTCGCTATAGTCAGTATCCAATAAATGTATTTATTGGAGCAATGTATTCAACAGATACTTAGCATTTACTATATGAAACAGGCACTGTTCTAAGTGCTTGAAATAAATCAGTGAGCAAAAGAGACAAAAGATCCCTGATTAGTTGAGTGTATGTTATGATAGTAAAGTATATAAAGTGTGTTAGAAGATGGTAAGTGCTGTGGAAAAGAAAAAAATAGAGCAAGGTAAGGGAAATCACCTCCGGGAGGGTGGCAGGGTTGAGTTGCAAATTAAAATTAGCACATTCTGGTTTGAATTTGGTTGGGAACATGACAGATAAAGCAGTGGATTGAATGATAGGCCTTGGTTTCCAGTTGCTGCCCGGTGGTTTAAGGGGTCTGTAAGCTTGAACTTTATTTTACAAAGGCTTTTATTTAGAGGGTACACCCTGAACTCAAGTCCTGATTGTGGGGTATTTAATAGTGATGAAAGAGCCAGGCTTTTCTTAGCTTTTTACCTTAGCAAGACAAACAGATATCCAACTGGTTCTCATTAGCGTGAAGGAGGAAACTTGGAGAAACCATGTAAGTTGACAATAATTTTTTTTTTTTTTTTAAGACGGAGTCTCACTTGGTCGCCCAGGCTGGTGTGCTGTGGTGCAATCTTGGGTCACTCCAACCTCCGCCTCCCAGGTTCAAGTGTTTCTCCTGCCTCAGCCTCCTGAGTAGCTGGGATTACAGGTCCCCACCACCACACCTGGCTAATTTTTGTATTTTTAGTAGAGACGGGGTTTCGCCATATTGGCCAGGCTGGTCTCGAATTCCTGACCTTGAGTGATCCGCCCACCTCTGCCTCCCAAAGTGCTGGAATTACAGGTATGAGCCACTGTGCCGGGCCAACAACAAATATTTAAAGACAGGAAAGTGGCAGTGCTCTTTGGCTTCAGTGAGCAGTCAGGGCTCAATAAATAGAAATTTCAGGAGAGCCAGTTTCCGTTGTTATAAAGACTTAGGTTTGAAGCAACTAGAGCTGCCCCGTGGCAAAAGGATGATTTTATCATCAATGACTGCTCAAACTGGGTTTGGAGAACAACCCAATAGGGCTTTTACAGAGCAGAGTTCTGCCTTAAGGGGAAGATGCATGGTTTCTAAACCCCCCTAAACTCTGAGATTCCATGGGGGAAGCCAGCTGCCTGAAAAGAGAGGATCTGATTTCAGGCCCCAGAAGTCATGATTTTCCTAGTTCTTAGTTTCTGCATCTTTAATATGAGTTTTTTCTAAGGTTTCCAGTCTGAGCTTCAAGACTGAGTTTCAGCTCATGCTTACTCACCACCAAGTGTGAGGCTTTTAATGACCTTGGCCAGTGACTGGCTCCAGCCTAGGGTAGCCCCAAGCCCATGCCTTCTCCAATTAAGGGACTCTTCCGGACAGAGCTCAGAGCAAAGGGCGGTAGAAGGCTTTGGGCTGCGGGGAGATACTGTCATATCCTAGACTGAAGGAAGTTAAGCTGAGCAGAAAAATGCTCTGAAGAATGACTCAGAAGAGGCTCTTGTGAGGAAGCTTCCTTGGAGTGTGCGTGTTTGGATTTGGGGAGGTGAAGGTTGTCCCCATGCCAAGCTGGCCGGGGCTGTTTGTGACATCATGGAGCTGAGCGTTCAGAGCACGGGCCTCAGGGCAGGTAGTCGTGGGTTTGAATTATGGCTCTGCAGCTCAGTAGCTGTGTGACTTCAGCCAGTTATTGCACCTCTCTGAGCCTCGGTGTCTCCATCGTTAGTGATGGAGATGGATTTAGTTTGGAACCTTGCCACCTCCCAGAGTGGTTGTGAGGGCCCAGTGAGGTCATACGTGAGAACACCAGACTAAGATGTTAGTGTCAGTTCCAGTATTCAGGGCCGTGGGGCAGTGGGCAGGGCAATGAGGAAACACAGAGGTGTGTGGGCAGCAGAGATCGTGGAGGTGCGGAGGCATGAGGAGGCCTGAGGGCTCTGCTTCCAGAGTCAGGATGGTGGCCTCCGAGTGAGGACTGGGTTAAGGGAAGGGGTGGGTGTGTCTGGGACTTAGGGAGAATGCTGTTGTGTGGAGGTGGAGTGAAGACAGCAGGAAGGAGAGAAAGGCTGTGTGCTGTGAGGGCCAGAGGGGAATGTGGAGGGGGTGGGCACACACCCTGTGCAGGGCTGGGGGTGTGAGATGACTAATGTGGTTGGGGTCAACGTGGGCAGGACTGTGGGCATCGTTGTGTGGGTGGAAGGACCAGAAGTGTCACCCTCCCCATCCTGAGGGACTGGTTCCTTGCTGGGAGGAGGAGGATGTAGCCAGGACCTCTGGGAAACCATGAGTAACAGGCACCAGAGGCAGCCAGGTCCAGATGTGCTGCCTGCCTGGGCCCACAGGCTGTGCTGGCTGGTCCCTCCCCTGCCCCTCTTCAGGCCTTGCCCCTCCACTTTGCGCCTGTGGGTGGAGTGGCACTTTCCCCCTCCCTGGAGGCTCAGGGAAGGAAAGCTGCCTTTATGAGCCTGAAGCATCTTGTAGGTCTCCTGGGGCCAGCAATGGTGGGCTCTTTGCCAAAAGTCTCAGGCCTTCCTCCTCCCATCCTGTGCTCTCCTGCCCCTAGAGAAGAGGCTCTGGTGGGCCGGGAGGGCCGGGCACACCCTGTACCTTGCTGACTTGTTGCACAGTAGGTCCTACTCTGCGCGGCTGCACCTCGGAGCACATTCTTTCAGCTGCACAGGTGTCTTTCCCTTTCAGCCTTTATGAAACGCCTGCTGTGCACACTCCATATATTTGCACAGAGGCACAGGTGGGACGGGAAGAGTGGGGAAAGCAG